CATATATGTAGATGTTAAATAAGAATTAATATTTAGAACGAATGTAAACAATCTTTTCTGACAATAAATACTTGCCAGATGCACAATTCATACAGTGACTGCTAAGAATTAATAATGTTTAGTTCAGAAATTGAATCTCAGATATGTCTTTGCAAAGAATGTTAACTGGATTATTTAGAACGAGTGTGTACTAAACTTAAAGTTTTTCTTTTTTTTTTTTAACTGGAATTTACAGGGATTGAGAGCGCTAGGAGATTACTTAAGTTTTTTGCTCTTTACCCAAACCGTCGCCAGATTATATACATCATCTACGTGTCTACTTACTATAGGAAGGTTTGGCTTGATAATCGTCATGTGCTTCGCTTTGATGATTTCACCGTTCTACTACGATTTTACCTCCTTATCTTTACTTCGTTTTCTGCTTCCTTATCCATTATGCCATTTGTTTGTTGATTTTTACATTACTCATTCATCCAGTTCTTCTTGCTTCTGCACTGTGTAGATTAGAGCAGCGTTGCTCAGCGTTTTGAGGGCGTCGCCGGCTTTTGAAATGAATTTTCTGTTATCACCTTCTTGCTAGGTTTCTTCCGCATCCTGCTGTCAGTGCCTACTTTTATATCTTATAGTTGCTAACTAGGACATAAAAACCATTTTAAAAATAGTACAGTTATTACTAATATTTTTTTCGGGATGAAAAGTGGGATAACTTCGGAGTTTGCGTGAGCTGTTTTTCCTCAAAAATTCGCTCAGTGCACTCCAACATTCACCTGCGAATCTGAAGCTGTCTGATGAACTTTCAAACTTCGCATCGCTTTTTTATTGCTCTCCAACGCACTCAGAAAGGCAATATCACCTACCCTGAGAATCGCTTAATAAGATTTCCAAATTTCCCCCTAAATAACAGTTGTCCCAAATTTTGGTGGGTTAAATATTTCCAAGACGGTTATTTTAGAAGCTATTTATTTTTTTTGTTTTATTTCCAATCTTTATAACTCTGTGTCGATGGTGCGAGCCAGTATTGCCATTAAATTTTTAGTTTAAGTAATATATCGACACAGCAGGACCAGTATGATTATTTGATATTTGCGGATTTTTTTGACTGTCTTTTTGCCTTCACTCTTATTCCTTCTGAAAATCAGTAGTTTCAACTATTCGGTTTTAAATGCGATGTAAAGACAAGAGCTTTTGTTTGTCAGTTTTTAAATCACTTACATGTTTTGTTTATATGATGGCTTATTAAACGCTTCTTCAAGTTTTACGAAACTAACTTTCAGGGGCTAGGTTCACGGGTCAAGGATTTTTAATATGCCAGATAAGGAAACTGATGAGCATGAACAAAGCAATGGCGAGGAAAGCAATAATACGACTATTAAGAGTAAACATGACCGTGCAAATGCTGCAGATCTCGAAAAGGTTTGCTTTCGGCCTGATTAAGTTCAATTTGTCAAACAAATTTTTAAAAAATTTTCTTATCTTAAGACTTTTGTTATAAATCCTGTGCTTATATAGGGATGGGTCCTCTTTTTTAGATTATATGATGTGAAAATATATTTAATTTTTTTACTTTTTTTTTTCTTTTTCAAGGTAACGGATTTTCAAGAGGAAAGTGACAGTGTGAAAGGCGTATCGAGAGAAAAGTTGGATAGTTTAATTAGTGGTGCTCAAGTAACGAAAAAGAAAGTTGTTGTGAAGAAGGAGGATATTCAACTGATAGTAGGTTGTTTGATTCCACTAGGAGTCAGATACTCTTCATTTAGCTGTTTTCTTTAATGAAATGATGTGCAGCTTATTTATAACTGTCATTAGCATTGTTTCATAATAATATTTTTTACCATTGTTTTGTTTGTGGCCGTCAGTGTTTTGATAGACTTAAGCGAGAATGACAACTTGGTCATTTTTTCAGGTCGATGAATTAGAACTTCCAAGGGCCCGGGCTGAAAAGAAATTAATAAAGCATGATGGAGACGTCATGTTAGCTTTAAAGGATCTCATGGGTTTCTAGTTTGATTAGACTTATTGGTTAGTGCCAGTCAAAATTTTTGCTCATATTCTTTATTTGTATTTCCTAATTTATAACTTCTGTTTATTCATTATACGTTGTATAAAAGAAGCGGCGAGTGGGCGAAATTCTCAGATTATGGTTTTGTGGAGAGAACTGTATTTTTGAAACTTATAACGTAGGGTTTTTTACAGGTATCGTTGTTTTACGATCTGAGTGATAAATGACATGGCTGCTATCTTTTAGTCGCTCTGTTTATATCCGGTTTATGCTACACTATGTATGTTTGTTGTTCATTCTGCACCCGTGTGGTGAAATCAGTTTTAAAGAACGGCTTTTAATGGGATAAGTAGAATAAGGAAGAGAGATGGAGTAATTGGTTGGAAGTTTAAAAATTGAGTGTATAACGTCAAACTCGTCTTTATCGTAAGAAGTAAATTATTTCTGTCTCGGGGTCAGAATGTAGCAGTCAAGATGCTTTAATACCATAAATGACGCATTTTTCCTTTGTTATTTATTTCAGATATTGCAACATAAATGCAGTTATTTTGGTATCGTTGTTGTTAAAATTACTGAAAGTTTGTTTGTTTTGGTTTGGAATTGTGAAAACAGTCGGATTATTGAATTAGTTATTATTGCCAGGTATTGTCCTTTTAGGAATAAACGAATAGAATTTTGAAAAATTAAATTCAGGTGCTGCCTTGTGTTCTTTCATGCTAAATGTTTTTCATAAAGGAAATTATGATGAAAGATTCAGTTTGTTGTCATCGTTTGTTTTGCATTATTTGCTTAGTAACTGATGTCATTTTTTTGGTAACGAGATTCTGCCTTCAAATAAATAATTGAGAACAGAGAGCAAGGAAATTTCAAGATTCTTCCGCAGTTTATCCATCTTAATGTCCTGTCGTTGCCTTGTAGCAATAGCTTTAGCCTTGATTTTAATTTTGGTTCTTTTTTCGTTACTTGAGCTATAGTTATTTTCATTTTAGAAATTGTGATAGATATTTGAAGAGTTCTGGCGTACTGTAATATATAATTTGCTATATCATTTTGCCACTTGTATCACGGGTGGGTTTTTAGCTCTGTAATTTGAGGTGGTATAGAAGACAATTTTTTTGTTAATTGCCAGTAATTTAACAAAATTGATTACAACATTAGATTCATAGAAAGTGATCTTATATATTACATGTCATCATAATGAGATCAGAAATTGGATTATAGTTTTAAAAAAAAAGTAATATTGGTCTCCAGCGAAGTTTGGAAATAACAGTAGTCTCTCGAGATCAGGAAGAAACCTCGTCACTAGCTTTTGGTTCGTAGAAGTGATGCCCACTGTAAACTCTTTGAAACTGGAAGTGTTCGGTGTTTATGTGATCATGCTTTATTGAAGTCAGAAGCTCGGGAGCTTTACATATTTGTTCTTTCGGTTCATAATCCTGAAAATGCATTTTTAAGCTGCTTTGAATGGACTGCTGAAGTTCCTATCATTGTTTAGGTTGGAGGTGTTTTCATTTTGTTCGGCGATTAGCTGAACTCAATGGCTAAACAGTACTTCTGTTGTTCCCTCATATTTGATTTTTTTTCAGAAAATTTACTGTTTCTTTACCTTCCTGTACGAAGATTCTAAAAATCTTTCGCCTTCTAGAGGGAGTGAAGACGGGGGATTGATGCGATGTGGGATGGCAGCGGGTTCAGAAGGAGGTCGATATGAAGAATTATATTCTGTGGTTTTTTCGAAAGTGCCTGGAATAGTGTCACCATATAAAGTCTTGTCTAATTGTCACTCATTATCAGTGCTTCTTTTGAACCATTGAAAGTTGCTGATTGAGAGCCCGTTGAGAATTTGGTGGACATTACGAATAGCCTTTGTTTGAAAAGTTGATGCACTGTTATAAAAGGAAAGCCCATATGAAAAACAAATAGTTTTAGAGTTTTTGAATTTCTTTGGTTGGACCGGTCTAATAAGTTAAAAGAAATACCTTTAGCAGGGAAGGCGCCAGAATCTTCTCTCAGACTTCTTTCAAAATGTTTAGAACTGCTGTAGACCTCATTAGGATACAAGGAGTAATCACTGACATAGGATGAGCCGGCCGGGACGCTTGGACCCTGAAATTTTTTTTTAGATTTCATCTGTAATCTTAAACTGCATTTTTAATGGACTTTACAAACGACTGAGAATATTCAGAGTCACTGCTTTTTCCGCTTTTTTTCTCAGTCAGGGAAGGAAGAGCGACATTCTTTTCAGGGCAGTTCCTGTCCCTTTTTTTGTTTTCGAAGTGAATTCAAAAATCTTACATTTAACAAGAGTAGTTACTGTCAAACTTTTTAACTTAGTAGGTCGAAACAGTAAGTTGCCACCACATTAGTTTAAAAGCATACGATACCTCATTAGTCCCATTCATTGTTTGTTTTTAAAGTTTATCCTCTGCTTTCAAAGGTCTGACGTGTCTTATGACGTTCTTTTGCTATTGTTTGCTGTTACTTTAGGGGAAGGCGTATGCATCACCCTTTTTTTTTCATTTTTTGTTGCTGTAATTTCGGGCATTTTTAGGGTCAAGAAGCCAGACCCCAGAAAGAAACATTTACAAGACAAATGAGTATGCATTAGATTTGGCTGCTACGGGAGTTAGTGGTACACAAAAGTGTACAAACGCTGGACATTAGAAGCTCAAAAAACGGAAAAGACGTAGTCGCTGGTAGAATTCTGTGACAGTGTGCTACATGAATTGGGAGTGATTGGGAATTTAAGAATCGAAGATAAAATTTTAGTGAAAAAATCAATTTGGTCAGCATTCATTTCGGTATTAAATAAATTTTATTACATGCCACACTGCAATTTTCTAGAACGAAAAAAAAAAATCCAGTAACTGTAGAACAGGAAATGCTCTGGTTCCAAAAGAAATCCTGAACATAATCGCTGTATAAATTTTTTAAAAAGTAAGTTTTCTTTATTTGTTTTTTCCTTCTCTCCCTTCCTTCCCTCTCCACTTTTCCTCTTGTCTTTATTACTGAGCTTTATCTGTTGATTTACCTTTGGATTTTTGTCAATGGAAAGAAATTTACATTTGACACGGCAGGGTTTTCTCTCCGTCTTGAAGAATTTGGTAGAAATGCATTGAAAGGTCCGGAATAGCATTTGGTAATAAGAAAAAAGTTCTCACCATGTGTTGCCAGATGTCTGATTCCTGTTGCTTAACGACTTCGTAGCGTTCGCCCTTTTTTGGTACAAAGTCGCGGCTTTTTTGGGTCTCCAAAGTGAACGTTCCGTCACCCTGGGTAATCCCTGAGTCACGTGGGATCTTTACATCATACCTCTCACCGACTTTGGCAGTGTAGTCTCTCCGAGCAACGGTGTCTCCGCTCATTGTTCCTTCTGTCTGAAAATAACTTGGGCATGAAATTGTCTTTCTAGCCACAAGCTCTCACTAGAAGGCAAAGTCATACTTTCCATATATCTGATTCTTCATGCTTGACAATAGCAGAACGTTCTCCTTTTTTCGGCGCATAATCGGCCTCTTTTTGAGTTAACGTAGCAAAGGAACCATCGCCGTGAAGTATGCCTGAATCTTGAGGTTTCTTTGCAGCATAACGGTCTGCTTTTTTTTGAGTATAGTCACCATGTGAAACACTCTTGTCCTCTACGCCACCCTCGCGCTGAAATGTTTACAAAATCAACTGTCCATTTTTGTTCTAAGGATGGGAGTCATTTGAGTGAGTCTCATATAGGTTTCTCCGATTAGGCATTACGGGTGGACCAAAGTAAGAAGTTTTTGTTGTTAGACTGAGTGTTTATGAAGACGAGTGACTGAAGGGTGGGAAGTTTCATAAGCGCTAGTAGTATTATTCAGATCTAATGGTATACAGAATTTTCTGTCCGGCATTAAATTACAGCATGTTACCTTCTCGCTTGTGAAAATAAAAGTTGTTTTACTACCTTAAATTTCTGTTATGAAGTTTATTTTTTTACTGGGCTATTGGCTTTTTTCAATTTATGGATTCTAGAACACTTGTCGTTCGTATCTTAGGTGACAGCACATGAAGTTTAGGAATGTAATCTGTGGTATTACTTCATGAGAATTGGACTTAGTGTCACAAGAAGAAGTATTTGAAAGAATTTGCTAAGGTCAAACAAATAAATGACTTGGAATAAATTATTGACTTAAACAATACTTACTAAAAGAAAATCTGTTGGCAATAGTGCTTGCTAAGTTTTATGGTGTATCTTATCGTTTAAGCTGGCAGACAGTTAGCTCTGATTGTCTCGATTGGTACATCCTTGTTCCAAACAAAATTACAGTTGAACAATGTCAAAACTTAATTTAAGCTGTTTATTGGACAGGATTGCTAAGTACTTGGTTCGTTTTAAATGTCAGCTTAAACTACTTTTTTTCTTCAGTACAATACTTGCTTTGACTAGTGATATCTTACTTTCCCTGAAAAGTTGTCTTGAGAGGTTGTGTATTTAAATTGCTCTATCCTTCATTATTTCCTCTGCTCATTCTCTTGTTTTCTTATACATTTTTGCAAGAAGCTGCAAGAAATTTCTTTGCAATTGGAAAAATAGTATGCTTAGTTTGATTTTGTTCTCTGTCAGAATGGGCTGACCTACTGGCAACACAGTTTTACTCGTACTGCTGTCCTGAGTACTCAATTTTGCAGACGAAGTGATTTGGAGTTATTTTTAAACTATAATGTAATGCTTATATTATTAGCTCCAAAATCTTACTGTATCGCTAATGTTTATAAAGCTGTAACTTGAAATGCATAGAAAATTCTTGTTGCGAAGTTCTTCTTGTTTAGTTGGACCACATTCTGCGCTTCTGAAGCATTTGTTTCTAGTTTTTTTTTTTCTCACTCAACTTTCTGCTTTAGTGAACCACAGGTTTTTTAGAAGAATAAGATAATCGGTAACAGCAAAAAAAAAGCTATACCTTCCATATATCAGATTCGTGTTGTTTTTTGACCTCATAACGTTCTCCTGTTTTTGGTGAATAGTCAACCTCTTTCTGGGTTTTCATTGTGTATGCCATATCTCCTTTTAGTATGTCACTATCCTGGGGTACCCTCTTTTGATACCTTTCACCTTTTTTAACGCTATATTCTTGTTGTGAAAGCGATTGATTAGGTACGACGCCATCGTGCTTAAAGAAATATTTTTGTTGTTCATAAAAAGTCATTTCCTGGTATTTTACTTACGGTTGATGCCAAAAAATTGTATCGGAAAAAATCAATTAGTAGGTTCAAGTGAGTTGCTAATTACGCATCATTTCATAAATAGTTTTGGTTCAGTTATTACCCTTTATTTTTACTGGAACTACTGAGAAAGAAATTTTTTGATTTGACGAAAAAAAGGATCTTCTATTACATGGTTTCATTTAAAGAGCACTAAATATTTGCTAAAATTGTTATACCTTCCAAACATCGGATTCCTGCTGCCGCACAACGTCGTATCGTTCCCCTTTCTTCATTGTATAGTCGACTTCCTTTTGTGTCTTGGCATCAAATGTGCCTTCACCGCGAAAGATGTCTGAATCTTTAGGCTTTTTCACTTCGTACTTTTCTGCTTTCTTTGAAGTATAATCACTTTGCGCAACACTTTGACTTTGCATCTTATCGTCAGTCTAAACTTTCAGAACTAGTAAGATGGGGTAGTAAAGGGATATTTTAGCTAAGCTATTTTAAATTACCTTCCAGATCTCTGATTCTGCAGGTTTTTTGATTTCATAGCGTTCTCCTTTCTTTTTCTGATAATCGTGTTCTGTTTGAGTCTCCATTCTATATGATTTATCACCCCTCATAATATCTGAGTCTCTAGGTATATAGACATTGAACCGATCTCCTTTCTTTTTTGTAAATTCCTGTTGCGTGAGACTAGTTGCAGGTATGGTTCCATTCACCTGTAACTAGCCATACGTACAGATTCTTCCTAGTTAATGAGCTTTTCTGTTTGTTCGGTTTATTTGATGGTCTTACTTGCCAAATTTCCGAATCGCTTGGTTTCTTGACCTCATAACGTTCTCCTTTTGTCGGTACATAGTCAATCTGCTTTTGCGTTTTGGCGTCAAACTTGCCATCAGCTGCTAAGATTTTTGAGTCTTTTGGTTTTTTGGTAGTATATCGCTCTCCTTTTTTAGCCTTGAAATCTTCGTGAGCAACGCTTTCACTTGAGATTTTATCGTTTATCTAAAACTTCTAATTAATCGTTTGAAATATCTGTGGTCCGTTTTATTCCAAATGGGACATGCCCTCTTTAGTTGTTTAATGTGTAGCCGAAAAATTGTAATTGTTGGTACTATGCGTTACTATAAATCTTTTGAGCCTTAACTCTATGGTATTCAATATTTGTTTTGAAAACCTGGGTATGTACCTTCCAAATTTCTGACTCTTGCTGCTTTTTCACTTCGTACCGATCGCCTTTCTTTGCAGTATAATCAGCATGTTTTTGGGTTTCTGTCGCCATTGCTCCTTGGCCTCTTAAAACGTCAGAATCTTGGGGACGTTTTGCCGCTAGCCGTTCGGCTTTTTTGCTCTTGTATTGCTCGTGGCTTAGACTTTCTTTTTCAATACCAGCCTCACTCTAAAAATTGGAAAATCACGACAGCTTTAGTTTTCTCAAACAGTGTGAATGAAAAGTTTTCAAGTTTAGTAACCTTCCAAACATCTGATTCGTCGTGCCGAACAACGGGGTAGCGTTCACCCTTCTTTTGAATATAATCAATGCTTTTCTGAGTTTCGGTTTCAAAAGTGCCATCTCCCTGAAGAATATTGGAATCTTTCGGCTTTTTTGGTCGATACCGTTCACCTGTTTTTTTGTTGTACTCTTCTTGTGCGATGGTAGCAGTGGACATTTTACCTTCTTTCTAAAATTAAACAATTTGTTCAGCAGTATTAAACAAAATGAAACAATAAAAAAAGCATAATTTTTTGTAAACAGTAAAGGATATATTACTTTGAAGAAGGAGGAGTATTTTTAACAAATTTTATCAGAGAAGCGACCGGTTTACTAGCTACTTGAAGTAATCATTATACTAAAGAGCGTATAATGTTCTAAGTGTTTCAGGCTAAGTTTAGGTTATTTTTTCTTGTATAATTACTTGAATAAAAAAAGCTTTTATTAGGCTGTTGAACAGTAGTTGCCAGTACGTTAATCGGTTGCCTAGAAAAAAAAGAAACAGCAACAACTTTTCTAAAATAAAAAATTAATCATTATTTCTTAATGATATCTGTAGTCGTTGGAATCGTTTACAGGTATTATTGTTTTCTGACATTTCGTATATTTCTTTTATTTGATCATTTGGCTAGATTTATAACACCAGTAATAATTTTTATAGATGTGTAGAATTTTATGTATCGGATTGACGTCATTTGTATCTGATGTAGACCGTATTGTCTGATTAAACTTTAAAACTTCGAAATCGTATACGTCTGTTTTTAGTCTACTCAGTTTTTAAATAAAAATAAGCGGCTGTTGACAGGTGTGAAAGATTGACAAATTTTTGAAATTCAATCATAAAAAAAGTTTGTATTGTTGAATTGTGCTGTTGCTTTTAGTGAATTCTTCACAGTGAGTTGCTTTAAAAGAAAGAAGCGTTAAAACAGTTAGGTTGATTCGTTGCTGTTTTGAAGTTTTATTGAATATTGTTCTTTTTTTTTTTTCTTGTGTTAAAAATGTATTTGAGTAAAATTGAAAAAAAAAATTGCTGCTGTTATTTTGTTTGGTAAATAGTTTCGATAGACAATAAACAGCTGATGGGATATGCGGAACAAAACAGAGCGATAATGAACCGTTGTTAGCCGGTTGGTTTGTAAAGCGATAAGTTTTTTGTTTTGTTTTGCAGACAAAAATTTCTTTAAAACAGATAAAATTTGTTTTAACGTTTAGAAAGTTTAGCGGAGCTGTTTTTTTTGCAGTCACATATATACACTGTTTTTCTGCAAAGCACAACAACAGTATTTCGGCAAATTAGTACAAACTGTTTGCCAACAGTGTTTTACCATTGCTGTTGCTTTTGCTATTGCCATTATATTGGGATTGAAATTGTTTTAGTGCTCGGACAATTTGTGTTTTTACAATAGTTATATAAAAGGATTTTTACATCTGTAAACTTCAAAAGAAAAAAAAAAAAACTTTTTTCTTTTATTAGCATTTGTTCTATTTCTATTCTTTTTCTGTAGATTACAATTACAACTTCACTTAAACATTAGTTTCATCTTTACCGTTCTTAGTTCTTTTTTTTTCTACATTTTTCTTTTCAGAAATCTTTCAATTTAAACCTGTTTAGTGGAATAAACATTTCTTATTAAGTAGTAAAGTAATAATAAAAAAGAAGTAGAAGAATTTTCTTCTGTGTGGAAGAAAATTATTACCTGCCATATATCTGATTCTTTAGGTTTTTGTACCTCATAACGATCGGCTTTCTTCGGCACGTAATTTTCACCCTTTTCTGTGATCATTCTAACGTTGCCATCACCTTTCAGCAGTTCAGAATCTTTTGGTTTCTTTAGTTCATACCTTTCACCTGTTTTACTTGTGTATTCTTGATGAGCCAAGCTATCCGTTGCTATTGTACCGTCATTCTTAAGAATAGAGTAGCGAAAAAAATTGCTTTCAATTACAGCAGTAAAATAGCATCTGTATTTGCTTAGCGCACTTCTAACATATGTTAATGCTGAGAGCTGTTAGTGTAGGTGTTAGTGGGCTTGCTAAATTGGTTATAAGCAAAGTGAAAAAAATTGATTTTTTTGTATTTCTGCAACTGTTAATTGACAAGGAGAAAGAATCAGGCAAAAACAACAATATCCAAAAATACAGTTTTTATTTTGAACTATTGCAGCGGTTTTTTTCCCTTAGTTGAAACTGTTTACCTTCCATATGTCTGATTCTCCGGGTTTTTTCATCTGATATCGTTCGCCTTTTTTTGACACATAATCTAAATCTTTTTGCGTTTTTGTTTCGAATGGTGCTGCAGGATCAAAAAAATCGGAATCTTTCGGCTTTTTTACATCATATCTTTCCCCCTTACTCTTAATATAATCCTCATGGGTGACCGTTTCTTTACGCATTTCGCTGTTCTGAAATATATTTCACAGCAACAAAACAAGGTTTTTTAAAGAACAATTTTTCAAAAAATGCTTCCTCATTGAGTAATTATTTAAGATTTAATTAACGGTGCTAGTTGTTCAATTCAATAATTAGATTACTGTTTGCCAGATGTCCGATTCTTCCGGCTTTTTTATTTCGTATCGTTCACCTTTCTTTGCCACATAATCTAAAGCTTTCTGGGTTTCTGTTGTAAATTGACCTTCATTGGCCAGCAAACCAGAATCTGTGGGCTTTTTGGCTTTGTATCGTTCACCTTTCTTTTGCTTGAAATCTGCTTTAGCTACACTTTCATTTTCCATTTGTCCTTCGGTCTGAATTTACGGTACATGTGCTGTGCTTTCGTACGGGTAGGAAGATTGGTGGAACAGAGTGTAGTAAAATTTTTTTCATTGAAAACTATGGAAAAAAACTTAAATTGAAAAAATCATTATATACTCTTAACATTTTTAAGATTCTTGCGGAAAACTTGAAAATTGATATCTTTCTGTCACTTCTGCGATACTGAACATTTATTTGTGAAAAAATTTTTTTGAGGTTATTTTTTTGGGTTTTTTAATTTTTCACAAAAACTAAAAAGCTATTACACTTACCTTCCATACATCAGATTCTGCCGGTTTGTTAACCTCGTATCGCTCTCCTTTCTTTGGTCCGTAATCTTTGCTTTTTTGCGTTTCTCCTTCAAATTTACTTGCACTTTTCAAGATGTTTGAATCCTGAGGTTTTTTCGTACTATATCGCTCGCCCTTTTTACCTTTATACTGCTGGTGAGTGGTACTTTCCTTTGTTATCTCACCATCGACCTAAAAACAGCGCTTACTAAAGTGTGTTTTTTAGCCGAAAGATCATAATCAAAGTTATTAGAGATTTACCTTCCATACTTCAGATTCGCCTCTTTTAACAGTATCGTATCGCTCTCCTTTCTTTGGTGTATAGTCAGCTGCTTTCTGGGTTTCGCCAGTAAACAGATCGGTACTGTGCAGTATATCCGAATCTTGTGGCTTTTTAGTTTCAAAACGTTCACCTTTTTTCGGTTTATATTCTTTATGCGCAACACTCTCTCCCTCTATTTCTCCACTGGTCTTAAATAAAAAAAACCTGAGTCAATGAAAAGTTGAATAAATTATTTAATCTTTACAAGGAGGCTTCTCTTCAGTCAAAACATATTGTGTCTTTTAAATATGGCTTATTTTACTAATAATCTGTTTTAAGAACGAGTACTATTTCTGTTACTGTGAACCGGTTTATCTGCTCTTGGCATTGTACAGAGCTATTTTTGTCAGGGGTTTTTGAAGTTAGACGGAATAAGTCAAAGTAGTTTCAATTATCAGCCGTTATCTAAATCTGACTAATTTGCTAGGGGAAACGAAAAAAAGTTTTATTGGTGGTTCAGGTTGGTCATTATCTGTAAAAGTTTTTGATTTAAAAGCTATTTACCTGCCAAATTTCGGAAGCTCTTGGTTTTTTCGTCACATAACGTTCACCTTTTTTCGCACTGTAATCAATACTTTTCTGTGATTGCGCTTCAATTTTACCGTCACCTTTTAAAAGCCCAGAATCTTTAGGTTTTTTCACATCGTATCTTTCACCTTTTTTCTTAGTATACTCTTGTTGGCTGAGACTTTGTAACTGCATATGGCTGTTGTTAACCTGCAAATTATACGTTTTGTTTATTCTCTA